GCGCAAAGACGAAACACGTTTTAGTGACATTAAAAAACCAATAACCAAAGTCCCAAGCAGCGAGATTAAGCGGACCAAAATGTTCGGTAAAGAACGAATTGCAAGTTCATCACCCCGCAGAAAAAACGGAGAAATTTCACTTTCTATCAATTTATACGGAAACAACGTAGAATTTATTAATTAAATTTGACATTCCATTAAGTAGCACGAGGCATCGGTAAAGATAATGATTTTATCAATTGATTTCATAATTGCTGTATTGCTTCTTTATTCTTTCACATACATTTCATCATTGGTCTATATTCTCAACTCTTTCATAACCATAACACGAGTGTTCCCAAACGTTTCATAACCGAATTCTTAATAAGCAGAAGGAAAAAAACTTGCCTGAGCCCAACATTACAAAGGCTGTTCTAATGTTCCATCTCTCGCCTCCGTTCCTTCGATTTTGCTCCGGTCGACGACCAATTTTATCCTTGGTCGAACGGCGGGGGGGGAGGGGCAAGAACGCTTTTGTTTCTGTAAACCTAACAGTAAAATGTAACAATGCCTTCAATGACTTTACCACTATCCTTGACATTTTCAAGACTTGTCTGTGTTACTTCACAAATTTGTTTATTTCCATCTTTGACACACTTGAGGCTGGTGGGGAACTTCGAGATCATTACTGCTATTTGGCCAAATGTGATTTTTTTTCCTGAAAAACATCATTGCAATGGAAATCTCAAAACAATATGCACAAGAGCCTCAGTTTGAATGAATTATTTCAAGGGGTTTGACATTCTACTGGATGGCATATAATGCCACTGGTATAAAAGATCATCTGTTGTACCTGTTGACACGTACATGTACAATAAGTCATCGTATCTAGCTGCACGACGAACTTGTGGCCGAAAAGATTCGATAAAGCAGTTTTGACTGATTCATTGACAAGGTCATTAATAATAATTAATGACAAGAAGTCATTAATTAACCGATGTATATCATAAAATTGGAAAGTATAATTAATTTTATTAAATTGAATTACTTAAATATTAGTAGACTTCCATCCAAGTCAGATACTTAGGACTATACGAAGGCGCAGGCATGGACCCACATAGGACTTAAGCGACAACTTACCAAGCTTGGAAAAGAAGACGTTTAGGACTGAAATGAGTTTTGACCGTCAAAACTCAACTGTCTCCATACAAGATTACATTACTACGACTAATTAGGATATGGAAAAAACTTCACTTCTTGAAATCAGTGATGTCCCCTGTGTTACTAAAACATGGGATGGACGAAAAAACCTCAATTGTTGGAATAAGTGTTATCAAAGCGTGGGATGGATGAAAAAGAACTCACTTCTTGGCCTCGAGACCTCCGGGTGAAGAGCTTGTCATTGTCAGACCGGAAGGGAAAAAAAAAATCGCGTATGTATTTGTAATACGTATTTTCATAAGCCACTAGCTGGAACGGCCGTTGAAAAATTCTTGAACCTTAATCTCAAAAGTGATCCATGTATCTGAGGTCTGGACTGTCGGCGTGGAAGGAAACCGTTAAAATCTTTGAACTTTTCCTTGATCCGACTGGAAGCTTGAAGCTTTGGAGTCATCATCCTCAGTGGACCTCCAGCTGAGGAACTCTATGACTCAGAAGTTCGCCTGTAAAAACACAGTTCAATATTTTGGTTTTACTACAGCACACCTCGATTATTAAGAAGAAGCAAGAAGTGATAATCCTAAATCCTTGATTTTAATCACCTTTTTAGACGTCGAAGCGTATCGTTGGGAAGTGATTGCAAGGAATATTGTACGAGGAGTTTATAGGATATGTAGGATTGAAGTTTTTTGTTGCAAATTAAGGATTCTTGATATTCTATAGATTCTGCGGAGATCATAATTTTTGGGTTGAACCCAATCATTCCATATTGGTTTCAGTGTTGATTGTACTTAGTAGTCGTCGGTTCCGTTCTGTCCTTTTAAGCCGTTTAAGAGGAGTCCTGGTCTATTGATACATCCCCGAGGTGGCGGATGACGTTTCCGTTGAAAGGGAGTGACTTTATAATAGACTAGAGGTAGGATGACAAATTTTTGATAGAAGCAACCTATTTTAATTTTTTTTAAACTACAATACAAAGTTTCTATCATCTACAAGATTATTTTTCAGCATTAGGACATAAAACCTTAAAATATTGTGAATCAAATCCAACGGATAGCAGGACTAAATTGTCAAATTTATTTGACCTCTCTTTTCTCTGCCTTTCCAATTTTTCCGTTCTATAAACGGATTTATAATCCGTAATATCATAGAATTCACGTTAAATGGTTTTTAAAACTAAAGGAAAAACAAGTCTTTTGATTCTTCACTGAGTACTTGGGACGTCTTAAAAGGTTGCGAACGTTTTTGTTTGTTTAATTCTTCTTATCGATGGATTTTAATTTCGGCACGCATTTTTTTCAGGAGAGTCTGCACATTGGTTTTAAGCATCAAACAGCAATTTGGTAGTGGTCCAGTGAGGACGGTTTTCATTGTTCTGTACCATTTCTGTCTATTCGGTTATTAAATCTGATATTTTTTTCTTAGTATAATACGAATTCTTAGCAGTTTTTTTAATCAGCTCACTACAATTATTTGCCTATTATTTATCTATAAAATGAAAAAAAAAAAGAATCGTTTCAATATGATGCGATTTAGAGAAAAGGATAAAGTGATTCCAACAAGTGAAATTTTTCCCCATCCCATGTTTTGGTAACAGTGATTCGCAACTTTAAAAAAAATTATACGACCCACATCGAATGCTCGGAATCTTATGGGACAAGTTTTATTCTATATAAAAAGGGAGTAACAAAATAAAAATATATAAAACCCTTGGGATCGCTCCTTTTTCGATATGACGAACATTCACGACAGAATTCAAACACTTAACGCTTTATTAAGTCAGTTGAGTCGTATTTACTAGTGTTCTATAAGGGTGTTGAGTTTTAAGGCTATACTGATTCAAAGAAGTGAGGTTTGTCCTCCATTATATGTGTTGGTAACAATGTGGGCAACACTGATTACAACAAGTGAGGTTTTTTCCTTCCATCTTGTGTTTTGAGTAACCCTGATTCGCATCTTTCAAAAAAATTATATAAACCACTTCTAAAGCTCGGAATCTTGTGGGACAAATTTTATTCTATGTAAAAAGGGATCCATTTATAAAAGGTCAATACAAAATCCTTGGGATCGCTACTTTTTCGATATGACGAACTCGTGACAGAATTCAAACACCTAAGGCTTTATGAGCCAATTGAGAACATACTATACTATCAGTATAGTGTTATAAAAGTGTGTGTTGAGTTTTTACTAGTCTTTTTTCTATATTTTTTTATATAGGAAGAAAATTAGCAGTTACACAATGCGTTACATCTAACTTGAGTTGAAGCATGTCGTATCCATCCATCCGTACTTGTGATCAATTGGCCGTTTCCTTTGTTCCGACTGATTGGCAAAAGCCATTTCATTCATACGCTTCTAATTGACTTACCGTCTTTTGAGGGCCGAAATGAAAAGGATTTTCAATAATCTAAGGCTAAGAACTGACTCGAGTTGATGACGAACCATGGATTTATGACGTTCCATCGATTGAATGGCCGATCTCACCTACCCTGGGAGCGATTTAAGTCTTCCCACGGAATCAAAAAGTATTTCAGACGTACACATTGTGGTTGAGAAACTCAGAAATACACTCGAAGCAAGAAAACCTTCTGCCATAGCATTGACGATATGAAGTTTGAGCAAATGTTTTCAACGTAGTTTTAATTCTCACATTGTAATTGGCATGGGAAAACACTTGTAGATATAAAAAAACAACTCTTTTGACTAGGATATTTCACACAGGTCTCTCTATCACATACTACATAACTAATTTAATGATGATTCGTCTATTCGAAATATCTTCCAAATTGTTACATACAAACTGTATCCTCCAAAAACAAGAGACCCAAAGACTCGTTCAAGAAGAATTCTCGTGGCGACATTCTTACTCGCTCTCTATATGGAGCCGAGAAACCCCTCAATTAAGTGGGATACATCGAGCAGCCTTTCTTCATATGGTCATATACGCGGGCCATTTCCATCCCATGTTTTGGTAATACTGTGGGCAACTCTGATTCCAAGAAGTAAGATTTTTCGTCCATCCCGTGCTTCGGTAACACTGATTCCAAGAAGTGAGGTTTTTCCTCCATCCCATGATTTGGTAACACTGTGGACAACACTTATTCTTAGAAGTGAGGTTTTCCCTCCATCCCATGTTTTGGTAACACTGTGAGCAACTCTGATTCCAAGAAGTGAAGTTTTTCCATACGGGCAGCGCCTCACAAAGGATATCTGCCGATGTCTCTGGTTCTACTTGAGTGAATCGGTATGTTTTGTCTCTGTTCTATCTTATTTATATGGCAGTAAAGAGAGGTCGGTATAGAGGCCTGTAATTCTCCTCAAATCATGCCTACTGAGAGAGATGAGTTCCTTCGCCTTCCTTGTTGACAGTTTTGTGAATCTACAAGGTAAGCAGCTATCTAAAAGCTACGCAAGTTCAACTTGCCTCGTTTTATTGATTAGGTATTTCAGTTTTTCACAAGCCGTTTTTCCACCTTCATCCCATGGAGTTGACTGATTGTTCAGCCTGTTTGTTTCCATCCATGCCTTCATGGCCCTGAACCCGATTCAAGGTAAACTTTGTTTGTCCTCCTTCGCCTTATTACAGGACGATGATGATGTGAACTCACATGGGGTTCGACGTGATTAATCTACTTCTGTGGATATACATGGGAAAAGTTGGATAGGATACAGGGCGATTGATCCACATCCGTTACTAGGAGTCATAATTTATATTATTATACATTTCTGTAAAACGTACAGCGTTATATAATTTTATACGATGTATAATGAATTCAGATAAACAATTCTGTCTATATGATTTGATCCCCCACCTACTGCGTATTTCCTTATACTGATCTGTACATCTCTAACGGTAAAAAGGCGAAACAGGTGGATGGCACAGAGCGAAGATCAGTGAGCGTGCAGAACATCTCGAAGCAATTTAATTGTTACGGGTCGTCACAGAAACCGTGTCCTCATTTCGTCTTTAGAAATTGATGGGAAATACATTTATGATTAGTAAGTAAAAACAAAATTTTGCAGGTTTTTTTTTCTTTGTCGTATCAAACGAACCGACAAATACCGTGTGATAAAATACCGGGTGATTCCTCTAAATGAATCATCTTAGCAATATTCTTCCTTGATCGCTTTATTTACCAAGTTAAAAAATATTTTCAACCTCTTTTGTGCGTCTTTAATTTTTTTGGATGTACTTATGCTTTGATTTGCAAAATATGCAATAGAAAGAACGATATTAATTTAATGAGTAATAAATACTTTTTGCTCAATAGCAAGTATTACGGTCATAAAATGTGAACTCGTCATGTTTCAAGAAACAAAGCTTAAAAGCGCTTAAAACATTAAAAAAAGGTGTATCGAATGCTCCTGAATTATTGCCGCACTTAAATTATTCACAGTCCCCACTAGCTTCCTTGTTTCCCGTTGTCCAACCCTTTGTGGATTAGGTTCTCGATAAATCCATAGGATTGAATTTATTAGAACAATTATTTTAATAAGAATGATCAACATGTTGGCAGGACGTTGTTGATGATGATAGGGCATTAGTTAGTTTTCCTGGGTCTTTTCGTGCCCTAGGTTCTACCTCCAGTATACCATGTGGTCTTCCTCTTCATTGTATAACATCATTGAATCTCGGATTTCTAGATAGCCCTTTCACTACCCTGACTTTTACCACTAGAGTAATGTGTTTGCTTGTTGGTTGTTTCCTCCATTCCATGTTTTGGCAACACTGATTCCGAGAGTTCAGGTTTTTCTTTATTCCCATATTTTGGTAATACTGTGGGGGACACTGATTCCAAGAAATGAGGTTTTTGAGGTTTACAATCACGATACAGAACTACTGGAATATGCAGACCATACGGTCTTTTCAGTAAACCCAGCCTGGTAATGGCCTTCAGAAACCTCTATTGGGCTGGTTCAAGAAATGGAGGATCAGCCTCACCCTAAATAACCTTTACCCTTCGCCTTATTACCTCTCCTCCAATCTCCTATTAACCTCACCATCAATCCATGTGGTGTACGTATACATTAGATAGCTCTACCACTGCGCAGAGTTTCACCCTGTCGAACTGTAGCTATGTACTGTGACTGGGACCTCTTGAGTATCCACTTTTACATTTTTTTCACCTATCCTCTGATGGACGAATGTTTGATCTTTTTATCCAAACTGTAGGTTTTAGATCTATATGGCCGTGAAGAACCTCTGGCCAGTCCACTTGTTCATTACTTAGAATTCCTTTTGTGCCCTGGCACCACGTTTGGATTGTCATGTGTTCCCAGGTTTTGGAGATCTTGGATGGACTCACTGACTTTTTCCTTAGCTATTGTATTTACAAGTGTTATTTTATTCCGAAATGAAAAATTTATTTTTCCTTTATCTGTGAGGCCGATAAGTACCGTTCTTCTCCCTTCAATAAAAAAAAACCTTTTTAAACGGGCCGTTGTTACATTTTAAACATGACTAATAATCAACGCTGAATAGACAGGATTATTACGAGCGATATGACTCAAAGTTATTCACAAAGAGGGAGAGAGATAGAGCGAGAGAATGATAAAATCAGAGTGAATAAGTTTGAACTTTATTGTTTGCATTAAATAACGCTCATAGATAACTCGAAAAGGACTGCTTCAACCAGGGAAATGTGTTTTCATATGGGTTTACGTGTAAGGGTTATGTTTCGTCTCGCTTGTGCAAATAAACAGAGAATTCACGTTAATGATCACTAAAAAAAGCAATAAGTGCTTTAACTAGTTTATTAGACTAAACGTCCACATCAATGTCGAAAAGGTTTCGTAACTTTTTTAAAATCATTATTCACATTATATAATCAATTTCAAAATGAACGCATCGTTCCGAAATAATGAATTGCGAAGTGCACCGACAGAAAAACAAGACATTAGTACGAGAAACCCGAATATTTTGTCACTCGTGAAAACTCCACATTATTAGTCATGAGGTGAAAGGAATATCCCTAGTTTTAATTTGCATACTAGTTGACTTTGCACTCAGTCGCTTTCATTACACGAACATTGCTGCCTGAACTTGCGTTGTCCTAACTTCGGGCAGAGCTTTATTGCCATCGTCCGACGGTTATTTTGATGGTGCTTATTTGTTGGTCTGCGAGTCGGTTTGACAAATGTTGACATGAACGTCACTTGACCAACACCCGGTAAGTATCAGTTCAAGAAGTGGCCATATAACCTGACCATTGCTGTTCCTTGTTTTCTAGTTTCTAACCTCTTTACAAATTTGAATCTTATTTATGTGGCTGCATCCAAGATTTTTTAATTGGTTTATTATTTATTGGTCGCCACGTTACCATCTGCGTTTCAGTCTACGGGTAGGGTTATCTGGGATAGCAGAACTGATCTGAGGTAGCATGGCATGGGAATTTGCGTAATTAGCGTTCAACAGGACCAAAGAGAATATTGAGTTTTGGTAGATAAAAAAGGAGGATTTACAATTTTTCTTAGGACTTTTACTTGTGTTCTTGGGATGCTTAAGGCTTAAGAGTCATGTTGTATCTCAACATTTTGTTCCGTTTTAGTCTCGTGTGCTGATTCCAACTAAGTTTTTAGTCTGAGTGAAGTCCCAAGTAACGTCGTGTGGAGTTGACGTAGTTACTGAAAATGGTTTTGAATTGCTGTATCGTCAGCAAAAGTGGAGAGGATTGTTTTAAGGACGAAATGTCACCGATCTAGTAAAAGAAAGGTCCAAAAAGGCTTCCGCGTGGGACGCCAGAACGGGGATGTCTGTGTCCTGTTTAACACTGACAGGTGCGATTTTACAATTAGGCTGTCGATGAATGACGTACACAAAGAACTTCGATGTATTGTGGAGTGCAGGGACCTAAATCCAAACCTTTTTAATTTCAGATTAACCAATTGTACCTTCAAATTACCCTTTTTTTTTTTTTACTTCAATTTAGCCTTTTTGATTTCAAATCAACCCTTTTACCATCAAATTAACCCTATTTAATTTAATGTTTTTAATTTTACCTTTCTTTAAAGCATTACAAAGCTAATGAGATAGTATGAAATACAAGGGTGCGAAGTAAGATTCCTGTATATTTGTTATTTTTGTTTAAATATCTGGGGGGGGGCAAAATATATATATATATTGGGTTCATGTAAGAACATACGAAAATTTAATTAGACTTAGAATAGAGATTATTCGTTTAATTTGAGAATTTTGCAAAAATATAATTTTTTATTATTATTATTTTTATTTATTCATTTTTTTTTTAACGGGGGTTCGCAACAGCAGAGGTCATATCAACCATCAGGGTGCGGGTGTTTTTGAAAAAAAACCCGTTTGTATGTATGTCGGGTTCGAATGCAGGTCCGCTGGATTCGAACCCGGGTACCTTTACTTTACAGTGATGAGCGCCGTGGCGGCCGATAATTAATTACAATTAAAATTATATATTATATAGCATTATTATTATATAGCAAATTAAAGAGAAAAAATTATCCGCGATTTATTTTACAATAAACATAAAATATTTGATCTATAAAATAATTGTATTTTATTTTTTTTTACTTTTTACATTTTAAAAATCTTTTTATTTAAATTTTATTTAAATTTCATGTAGTAGTTTAGACAAGGACTGACTTTATATTGTTAAATACTTTCAAATTGTAAGAAAAAGCTTTTATTTTTATATTTAATTTTATATATAGCTTTTTTCCGTCAAATTGACCCTTTTTAACTTCAAAATAATCTTTTTTAATTTAAAATTAAATTCGCAAATACAAACTAATTTTATTTGACATGCGTATATTTCATCCCATCTAGTAAGATTTTTAATGTTTTAAAGTACAAGTTAATTTGAAATTTAAATGTTATTTGAAAAAAATTAAAAAGGAGTTAATTTGAAATTAAAAATAGTTAATGTTAAGTTAAAAAGGGTTAATTGGAAGTTAAAAGAGTTAATTTGAACTTAAAAAGGGTTAATTTGAAGTTAAAAAGGGTTAATTTGAAATTAAAAAGGGTTAATTTGACGATAAATCTATACGATCTAGGTCCTGGCAGATCTTTATTTCTTTTTTTGTACACTGGCAATTGTATATATTTTTGTACAGGAAGCAATTATTAAAAAATGGAAATAAAATAATGGTCTTTTAATAAAAGTAATAGTTTGATATAGTTTTGTCGAAATGTTGCGGGACCGTCTTGACCATTTTCTCAACGCCTTTTCTCTTGCTAATTTTAATATTCGTCCTAGTTCAAAAACTCTCTCGAAAAACCATCCACGCCTTACTTGCAACCTTCTGCTATTTCTTCTCTTTTTTTTTATTTGTCATGTTAATAACTCATTGAAAGTCGCACACTTTTGTTTAGGTTTACTCATTTTTGAACACTGAAACTACAATTTAAATATCTCATTGAAACAGTTCGAAGGAGCATGAGACCGTTGCTTGAACAATTATGAATTATGATTTGTCAGAACTCTGTCGTTTTCTCATGGTGACATTAAATTACGATTTTCTACACCGTCGCAATAAAAATTAAAATAAAAAAGAAGAAACCTCTATTGTCTGGAATATAGTTTCTTGACCAATTAGTCACGGTTTGATTCTGCAACCGTTCTACGTGTCGTTGAAACAGTTCCTCTAAATCACCAACACTCAGCTTGTTTATTCTGAACGGATGCGCCGGGAATATGTTACAGATAAAAAGCCGTAAACGGTTGTATAACAGTTGAACCGTTTAAATAACAATTTGCATATTCCCACGTACTCAGGGGAGTTTTTGTGTTCGAGACGGAAAAATTTTTCGCCGGAATTGGGCCAAACTGTGAGAAGGACGTGAATGAAAAATGTTCTTGGGCAACAACATTGCCTCGAAAGCAACTCTAGGTGAAGTTAATTTCCTTGTGGTTTACGTTTTAATCACATGTTAGATAGCCAATACGAAACCAATGACGTTTTCAGATACTAATGTAAAATTGTTTTACCCCGTGCCTCCGCATTTGAATTAATTAACTTTTTATTGC